ATGCAAGGTGACATATGTCAGATGCTAGCATACAAGATAACATGTGTCAAATGCTGGCATGCAAGATGACATATGTCAGATGCTACCATACAAGATGATATATGTGTCAGCTTTTATTGTACAAGACGGCATACCGGTATGTGTCAGATGTTAGAATGCAAGGCGACATATGTCAGGAAGATGCTAGCATACAAGATGACACATGTCAGATGCTAGCATACAAGATAACATGTGTCAAGTGCTAGCAAACAAGATGATACGTGTCAGATGGCATGTCAGGTGTCAACATGCAAGATGACCCACATATAAGATAAAATATCCAATTTAATTTCCAAGCATTCAATATTTCAGTTGGGTGGTATTCATCCAAGACCGGTAACTAATTTACCTGATGGAACATTTGATCTTCAAGAATTAGAAGAAAAAATACGACCTGATGGAGACTTCCATGCTCCAAAGACTAAACTAATATGTCTGGAAAATAGCCACAACCGTTGCGGGGGAGCAGTGTTATCTAAGAAGTTCTTGGATGATGTAAGTATCTGGAAATATACAAATGTACATTTCTCAGAATCAAGTAGTAGTCTTGTTACCTCAGATTCGAATAATTGATTGATAACTTTATTATGTAGGTTGGTTTCATTGCCAAGACACACAATATAGCTGTACATATGGATGGTGCTCGACTGATGAATGCAGCTCTAGCAAGCAAGAGAGATGCTGCTGACATATTACAACATTGTGACACAGTCAGTTTATGCCTTTCAAAGGTATGTCCTCATTTTATCCCCTGCTTGAAAAAAAAATGATTTACTGACGTCTTGAGACATTATGAAATATTGATAAGAAAGCTTCAGAACATTATAACAAATTATGACATATCAATAAAAAAACAATACTTTTAAATATTTTAAGAGAGATTACATGAGATTATATTTGTTCTCTAGGGTCTTGGAGCACCAGTTGGGTCAGTTATTGCTGGACCTCAAACATTTATTGACAGGTAATATGTACACATACACTGTAAACCACTTCCCTGTGTTTAAAACAACACTATATATGTATGTGTGTATCTGCGTGAGACACTGACAAGTCATTCAATGTTCACATAGTGACGTAAGAGCGGTTAAAATCCTAGTGTGCATTTTACAAGCAAGCTATTGAATACTAAAAATTTAAACAATTTATGTAGCTATAGTTCATGGTTATCCCAATATTAGGATAACAAGTGACAACTATATTGTATTTCTCTGTGTAGTGGATGATGTTGATACATGTATTGACCAAGCAGAGAAGAGAAAAACAATAACAGTAAAAATGCAGTTTTCATGACTCTTGTCCATTTAAATTTATCACGTAATATTTTTGTTGATTAGTGCACGGCGATTACGTAAAGCTTTAGGTGGCGGTATAAGACAAGGGGGCATACTAGCAGCTGCCGGATTAATTGCTTTAGACAGTGGAGTAAAGAGACTACATATTGACCATGCAAATGCTAAATACCTGGCAACTGGTAAGTATGCAGTACAAAATAAAATCAAGTCAAAGTAAACTATTAATATAATGGGAAAATAATGAATATACAAATAATAATTATTATGCATCAATTTGGATGGAGGAGAAATTTATGAATATGCAAATATGCTAATTATGCACATTTGAATGAAGGATTATGCAAATAAGCTAATTGTTATGCATATATTTCTGATTTATTATTTGAGTTGATTTACAGCCCCAACTATGGGCTACAAATGTAGTCTTGATCAGTAAAATGCAGTAAACTGTAAATTGCCTAGGAAAAAATGTTATTTGATTTCCCATCTGACATGTGTACAGTATGGCTTAGTAGTGCTATTATGTTTGCCTTTGTTCTATGTTCTAGATTTAGATTTCCATTTGAAGTATTCTCATTTCATTTCTCATATACCAGTCACTTTTGTTTTTTTGTAGGCCTCGCAAATTTAAAACATCCATTGTTATCAGTCGACGTGGACAATACGGAAACAAACCTTGTATATCTTAAAATAAATGGTGCTAAACCAGAAACAGTCCTGAATATGGTAAACCAAATAACAGAAAATGAAAAAGAAAAACTAGGTCATGGAATCCAGATCAAAGCATTCCCAAGTAGTAAAGACAAGATCCGCTTGGTTGCTTATAAACATATAACAACTGAACTAATTGATCTTGCGGTCAAAAAGTTTGAATATATTGCTAATGTATTGTCAGAAAGCCCAGAAGGGAAATGAACATTAATTTGTTTCATTTAGGGTGTCACATTTAAAAATTTGAACACCTGCAAGGTTGAATACTTTCAAAGATTAACATCTCAAATTTTAAACATTTGTCACAAATTTTGTGAATTAAATTTTAAACTTATATTTAATACAGTGAGTGATCCCTCGCTAATGTCAGGATCCAATCGAAAAACACCACTTATCAAGGACAGACTGCTGCTTAGTTAGAGATCGGAATGATGGATTGTTCACATTGTAGTGGGTTTTATAGGGCCTTTTCAAGGCATTACCAGTTGAAAATTGTGCACAGTCGCAAGGTGACAATTTGTGAAAAACACCGGCACCACTTTCTCGTACCAATTCTTCAACGGCGAATTAAATACATGAAGCAACAAATCTAGATTTCTTCCAAAGCTACCGCTAACAAATCAATACAATTTTTTTAGGCCACCAAATTACTCAAGACTTGGCCAGGGGATCACTGTATTTAATGTTTAAATTGTGGGTAGTTTTACTAGATTTCTCAGTAATGCATCATTTTATGAATTGCCTTCTAAATATGAAATGATCAGTAGAAAGGCTTCACATTAAACTTGATTCATAATAAGGTCATATTCAAAACTAACAGAAAATTTAAGCGACACACAATGCTCTGTAAATGGAAACACTACTGAAATTTCAAGGTATGGGGGTTGGGTTCTAACCCGTGTTGCATTTGACTCTCGTGTCAAGCTTAATATACAACTGTAAAGAGCCATTATTAACTGAGACTATTTTCATGGAATACTGTTACCAAATGAACTTGAAAGCAATACTGAGTGCAAACTACTTACCCTCTTTAATACCCAATACCCTATGAATATTGTAAATAATGAGACATTAATGTATCAAACAATAACGTTTATTCTTTGTAAGATTAAAAAAAATTTATAACTACTGTTTGTTGTGGTTTTTAACCATAGATATTTTAAGGTCTATGGTTTAACATCTTCCTGAGATCTGTAGTGGTATATACCGGTAATAAGCAGCAATAAGCAATTTTTCAGAATTACGCAAATAACACCCAACAAATTGTCTGTTTGCAGTGGCTTGCTCGCGAATCTCGAAATGACACATACAGCACTGATCGTTGTCGGCATTTTAAAACAAATTATGCCAGGATTTACATTTATTAACTTTGTGGTTTTAACAGAAAAAACATAATGCAGAATACAGGAGTGAATTTGCTGTTGATGTATTTGAGTTCAAGGGCAAATTTCATTTAACTATAGCTGCAAGCGGAATGTTTCATACGCTTATCAAATCTGTACATAGTTTTTGGAACTTTAAAATAAATAAGTTCCATGCTTCAGAATTGCATTTAAAATGAAGTTGGTATAACATAATAGCAATAAACCACCACCACCAGGGATATACCACAATTCTCTTCATTAATATGCACCTGCAGCTAGTGCATACATGCCTTGAATAGTCGCGTCTCATGACCCCTAAAGGTCACACATCCTGGTACTTTCGTTGGTATGACAGCATTACAAATGAACACTTAGGGCATTTAATATGTCGATTGTGGTACACCAGTGGGTGGCAGTGATTTATTCCACAATTAGACATACCAGTACATATATATTGGTGAATTGGAGCTCGTGGCTAAAAATACATTACTATCTATACTAATGCTGACTTGGTGAATTTGCATTTGTTGGCACTATATTCCCTAATTTTGTTTACTACGTTCATGAATACCACATTGTTGAAATATGAAAATTGACGCTGGTTACTAAACAGCAAAATTTAGTCAGTTTATTTAACAATTAAAAAATCAGTTGATCTTCAGGAAAATATTAAGTATAAGCTATTAAAACTAAAAGATGATATTCTAATAATGGCAATTTTTTTTTTTTTTGAAAATGGAGCAAAAATAGTGAATTCAAAAATAAAATATTTAAAAAAATATTTCAGTATTTAATAAAATAAAAATGCTGAATATCAGCATACTAATGATAACACTATTAAAAATAGAACTTTGCTGCAAATGGTTGCTGAGATCTCTTGCTCATTTTTTTTTTCAACATGCCATGACACAGCTCAGGAGAACTGACATAGGAAAGAGTGAATGGACATAAACCAGTCTCTTGATTCCCCGGCTTAAGAAAAAAATCTCTGCAGCCATTTGCATCTCGGGTTAATTATTAGAAAGATCTTTAAAAACTAGCATCAAGCAGTTCCCTCAATTGGCCGATTTTCTCTATTTTTCTTTGGAGAGTCTTTAAAAAGCTTTCTACCCATACTAAGTGTGTTGGTGGTAGTGATGGTGGTATTTGATTTATTGTCGTTGAGCTGCAGATTTCTGAGCGGCGTTTCGTCTTTAAAATCATGATGATGTGATGCGGGTAGTACGTAACAGGCTCTACATACTGCCATATATTTATCGGTGCCACCGATGATTTCAACCTGCAAGGAATAAACATTTATAAATGTCATAATTTTGACTTTAACCTTGCAATAATGAAAACCTGAAAAAGCATGATTTACTACTATAAAAATTTACCGACAACTTTTTGTTGACGGGGGAGACTGATTCCCACTGCGAGGAACACCAGATGAAGCTTTTTCTCCGAACACAAATAAAAATTACTTACAGCCGTTTCCACACCTAGTCGCTTGGTATACGACGCTTCACTATAACAATGCATACACACTGCGTTCAATTTAATTACACTCTCTGCTAGTGGCACTAGATTCAAAATATTACCAAAACCCTACAAAAACAAAACAAAAACATTTTGTTCAAGAACATTTAACATAGTGGTTGTGGCTTATGAGTCGTACAACTAATAAACAGACTACAACGCCTATTTTTCATGGTGATAACCGGCTTAATTCTATATGCTATGAGTGCCACGCTTAGTTGTATTGGCATAGACACTGTCAAAGTTTACCGAACACCAGATATTCTGCACACTCTGCATTTTTTCTTAAATTGTATATTTCTTCGAAAAACATATCTGAGCATTTTTAAAACAGAAGATGCGTTCAGGACATTTTGACCTTTGCAGCTGTCTGAGATTTTTAAGAATCGACCAACATTTAGGCCAATTAAAAGTACCGTAAAATTCCTAATTGAAATTCATTTTTCAATGGACGAATTCAGATGCGTGAAGTCTTGGTGCGGCTTTAATTTTCACTTCGGTAACAGTGGGAAATTTTTTCAAAAAAAAGGCCAGAAGGGATAATGATATGCTAATGAGACGCACGACACTCTTGCTACTTTGTTGCGATTCTAAGCGCACTTTTGCAACTGAGAGACAGCCGTCTGACACAGCGACTACTGGCATGTTCGGCAGAGTGACTGTACATTCATCAGGGAAATTAAAATAAAAAAAATAAAAAAGGTCAATCAAAAAAAATGTTCGCATGATAAAAAAAAATACTCCGTATATTATTTAATGTAATATATATTTATTTTCTTATTTTTTTTGATAACGAAAAGTATATTCTAAAAGAAGTAAAAACAAAAAACAAATGCATTCTTAGTAGCAAAAGATCACGGTAACGGCCATGCTGCGTTTCACAATTGCTGGTTATTACTCAGTAGTGATTACAGCAACGTACAAAAAATAAATTCGTTGAATTGTTGTGAAAATTGAACTTGGTTTCACCGCAAGCGAATGATTTCAGTCACATATAAACGCTTGATCCGATACGACATCCGCCATGTTTGTTACTTGACTTGATAGGTCAAGTCACTAATTAACCAATCAAAACGCTGGATGGTGCCAACATGATTAAATTACCATAGCTCATTTAAATATGTTAATGTAGTTCAGCAACCATTGTTGTAGTGTGATCGTTTGGCTTTGATTTTGATGGGAAAATGGCATGATTTGTTTTTAAATCAAGAAATTAGTTGTTTTCGAAAGATAAGCTGAGCATTGAAGATTTAACACATTTGACGATAAATAACTCATTGTCGAAACGCAGTTTACCCATTCACGCTACCCACAATAAACCTGTACTCTGGAATAAGCGTCAATGACTACAGAAAACCTAAATTAGACTCTAATCTAAGCATCAGGAATCATTGAAATGTTCGAAAAGTTATGCCTTAATTTAAAATTAAATGGTATATCTTTTTCTGAAATATGTGGTGGCTTGTTTGGTTTGTGAAAGTTTGGGGTGCGGCTTATAATGCAGGCTTTTTCCTGGGATCAAAACTTGTCAATTTCAACATGAAACAATGTCTCAAGTTAGGGGTGCGGCTTCTATTAAAGCTGCTGCCTCAAATATGATTTTTACGGTAACTGTATGTTTTATTATATACCTCAAATAGTTTTTGAATATATAATGGGAAACTTTGAAATTGCTTGTGTTTTTTTTTCAAGAAAGGGCATATCGCAGAGTTTCGAGCGATCATATCACTTTGTGTTAACATTTTTTTTGTGTGTTCAGGGATGCCGAAACATGGAATATCATGATATCTTTCCGTGATCAGCTGTGCTCTCACTGTCGCTCGCAAATGTCAAAAATTACGAAATTTGGACAAGATTTACGAACAAAATAAATATCTATTAGTAGGATTTACGAACACATTTTGTATAAAATACCCTCGCAAATCGCCCTCATTTAATTTTCAAGACTCGACTGTGATCATCACGCGTGTTACGGTTTGAGTGATTGCCATTTTAAAGTTAAACAATGTCCTGTTACTTCTAAGATTGCAACAATTGCTACATGGTGATCGCGATCAACACGGAACTGTATTTTTCCACTCTGAAGTTATTTTGGTGTCATCGCACATGCGTAGTTTAGTCGACATGTGTTTCAAGATACCTCGCGACTTTACTCTCAGTATGGGACGGTTTCATGTCGCCCTTATCAAAACACGTGATTTGTTTATTTATTGAAAATGGAGGCTACGTCAAAAC